CTTCGCCCTTCGCCATCCGTGACGTGACGTTGCCCGCGAATGCCCCCGTCGAACGCGCCGAACACCGCCGCTTATCGTCGATACTAACGCGACGACGGCCGCAATACAATCCCCGGAGTTAGTGCCGCCTCGCTGGCTGGGTCCGTTTCTCTCGTGATCGCGCGTTTTGCTTTTACCCTTCCCTATAATGGTTCGAAAAAGTGCATAAAAGCAGATTCACACGGTGAAACTAGCGCGCGTTTATCGCGAGTACATACACGAGGAAGATGATTTGCTCTCATGTATACCACTAAAATTTAGTTAGATACAGATCTGAAAAAAAATTTTGTTCGATTATCAAAATAATTATATAGGACGTCACTCAATCTAGCTGCTAGAATATCTAAACTTTTTGCAGCATTGCTCATTCTGTTTGATACTCCTATTACGTAATTATTTTCATGTAATGTCTAATAAAATTATTTTCAGATCTGTATCTCTTATATAGATAAAGATAAATTTAGATACTTGAATCTTTTTTTATGTATATTTGGATATCAAGCTGACATTATTGTCGTCAGAAAATTGACGTTAAAGACGTTATTCTGATGTCAAAATGACAATAAATAACTTGCTACCTGGGATATTACTGTTCTCCGCGTACATACGCGAGTTCTCCAATTTTCGGAGCTCGTCGCGTTCGCGGCGGTTTTCGCGGAATTCGAGAATCGTGGGAAGTCTGAATCTCGACACGTCGCAAAATGTCGCACGCTCCACGGCCGTCGCGTCGATCAGGATTCGGAGCAACGATCCGCGTGTAGACCGCGTCGCGCGGAACCGAAGTTCGGCAATCGCTGTATGATGGGAGACGGTCCGCCCGGCGAGACTGGCGAGAGTGTACGGTGAATGGCGGGTCAAAATATCCAACCAACGCAGCGAAACGCGATATTGTATTATGTATGAACGATATCGCGAACTTGCCTGACTCAAACGATGACGAGAACTCCATAGATATGTGGAAACTGTGGAATCCTTCCGGTCAGGATGATTGTGATATGCATTTGGGGAAGGGAGAGGGAATAGAACGGCTACAATTTCTCTCGAATGGCAGAGATACTACTTTCCGTAATTCACGGTATTCCATCAGAAACGAGTGATTTGAGAATAACGTCACGCCGTAACGATCGCGAATTGGATCAGTTATATTTTTGGCGGCTTGATTGCTCCTGTAATTTCGGTGAATTTGTGTTCTGAATATTCCAGTGTCGCATGAGAGCCATCCCTTTGATTTCCGCCGATGCAAATACGACAATTTGCGAGTAAAGTGACATTAAATACAATACCCGTGCATCCAGCGTCAAAATTGAAATTTTTCGAAATTGCACAAAAAAATCTGGAAAATTCTGATTGTCCTGTTTGCAAAATTATTCTGATGTTGGAGAGAGCGCGACTTTTTTTTATTTAAAATATTAAAATTTGAATTTTTTTGTATTAACGTGCGTTATAATTTTAGCTATATGCCAGTTTGTTTGTTTTTTTACTACTATTATGTATTCGTGTTTCATGTACGGAAACATTACACTGTTAAACCTGTAGTGTCAAATTTAATTTAATTTAAGTTGCCACTGCTCTTACTCAATATATCGTTTTTCTGTACTAAAACAATGGATAAATTTGACACTATACATATAGTGCTTTAGTAATAGTGTCAAATTTATCCGTTGTTTTAGTATAAAAAACGATATGTTGAGTAGAAGCAGTGTCGATTTAAATTTAATTAAATTTGATGCTGTATACATATATAGGTTTAATAGTATACGAATCAGATAATGCTTTAGCTCTCTTTCTCTTTTTCTCTCGTTCTTGTTAAAAAAAATCCTGATTTTTTTAAATTGAACTTTCCAGAGAAAAAAAATTAGGTCAGCTCCTACGTTTTCTTTTCTTCTCGTTTAATCTTAATCTTAAATATACTAACATAAGAGTGCAAAATTAAACGTGCAGCTAAATGGATCTACTTTCGTTTCTCTGCAGATGAGTTTTTCTTTATAGTTTTGAGAAAAGTTACACCTAAGATGAAACAAATATATATATTCAGATTGAGCGGAGAAAGAGAAGGAGAAAAGAGAACTTGCGAACGTAGATGATACAAGTGAAAAGAATAGACTTTTCGCGGACGGTCGGTCGCACCGCACCGGCTAAAGATATCCATCTTGACATGCACAATGATTCAATTAAACAAAATACGTGAATCGATCATTCATATCCGA